CAAATTCCCTTTTTATTTCATAAGAAAAATAAAATTTCCAGTTATATATCAACCATTAAACTAAGCACTCTAAAATTTTCTGAACAAATAAAATAATTACATTTTTCCCTGAGATAAACATCTACCAATCCTCAAATATGCTAAATGATAACTTTCCAATCAGTAACTCTTATTTATGAATGAAAGTATTATGTGTATTAAGGAACCTAGGGTGGTTTTTTGTTGTGTGTTTTTGTACTTGGTTTGGTTTTTGATATAAAAGAGAATGACCTCTGGAAAAGGTAAAGTCCTAAATATAAACAAGCAGTTACAGCAATTCAGTGACCTATATGTTCCAATTATCAGAGAAAGAAGTAGATGTGGGAATTTTAGTAGATATGCAAAACAGCATCAAAATGAAAATATTGAATGTTTATTGATGGAGATAAAACATGTTGACTGGATTAATGAGCAAGGATTATACATAAACCAGTGAAAATAGAGTCAAAGAAAATTTAAAAGGTTTTATAGGAAAACTATTCTATGCCAAGATGCTTTATTAGACTATAGAGGGATTTTCTTAAAAAAAATATGCAGCCTCATTATTTAAATCCTTTGAAGATAGATTAAAAAATCTCTTCTAAACAGTTCTCTAAATACAGCTCTACACAACTGCTATTGACAACTATTATTCTGAGTAATGCTCTGACAGAAGACTCTGAATATCCTTTTCCCCTTCCTTTAGTGATATCATTGGCATTTTACCCATTTTGTAGACATGATTAATTATCCCTCCAAAATAAGTGAGGTTAGTGTGTTTTTGTTTTAATGATTACTTTTAATCTCTTTCCCAATGATTGTGGGAAATTTGGAGAAAAGTTCTTAGGAAAATAAAATATCAACCATTGAATTAACTAATACACTTGATAAAATATCTTTGAAATTTATATGCAATTTTAAGCTATATATCTGTTAAAAGATTGTGAAGCTCACTCTATCACTGTAGACTTGAAATATTTTTAGATATTATTTCCTACTATTTTTGATGAGGTAAATTAGATCTGAGCAGATATCAGAGTGAGAGCTTATGTCAAGTAGATATCTGGGGTGAAAGCATTCCACAAGAAGTAACAGGGATTTGAGGTCTCAAAGTAAATAGGTGCCTCCTGATCTTTCCCAGGAAGTGAAAAAAAAAAATGAATGAAAAAAAAGGCAGAGTGGCCTGAACAAAGTGAATGAATGGTTGAGTCAGAAGATAAGTAAGATTAGCTCAGATATCCATTTCTGAATCATGGTAAGGATACTGGATTTTATTCTGAGATAGAAACATTAGGAAGATTTGAGAAGATATACACTTAAAAGATTAAAAGACTACTCTGGTTCCTGTTTGAAAAAGAGAAACTATAGAAAGGCAAGAATTGATGCAAGGAGGGCAGATAAAATGACATAGCCCATCGGAGAGATGATGGTTCTTGGGACTAACGTGGTTGTCGTGAAGATGGGATGAGAGATGGTCAGATTCTGGACATATCCTCAGAAGAGGCAATACAGCTCCTAATGGACTAAACATGAATGTGAAAAAAAGAAAGAAAATAATAATTATATGCTTTGGGAACTGAGATTTGAATGAATGGCATTGAAAATAACTGATATGGAGAAATTGGAGTAAAGGTAGGTGGGACAGAGCAGATATGGAAGTAAATAAGTTGTCTTTGGGTATGTTAATTTTGTCAGACATATAAATGGAGATGTTTACTAGGCAGTTGGATATATGTACCTGGAATTTAGGAAAATGGTCAAAGCTGGAGATATGAATCATCACGATACAGTTGTTATTTAAAGACTGGAGTATAGATGATATCAACTGGTAAATGGGTATAGATAGAGCAGAGAAATCTGAGGACTAAATCCTCACTTTGAAATGGAAAGGAGTATCCAGTAGTTTAGGAGTAATTGTTAGAAGATATACACTTTCTTTTAATTTCTTCTATTTCAGGAGTAAATTGAGAAGCAAGCAGCTGAAATTGTGTTCCAAGGAAGGGTACTAAACATTTAGTAGAGTGCAAAATGTATGAAATACTGGAGTCTAGGAGAGTAAAATAATAACTAAGAAAGTGTAAAGTAATTGACAATCAGAATGGAGATTACACTGGTTGTTTGTGAAATGAATTTAAAATCTGCAAAGTTTTGTGTTTCACCAACTTGTCTAGCTACTTGGAAACAGGTAAAGAAGAGGTGAGAATTTGAATTTTAATCCTTGTTTGTGCTTTGTCCAAAATGTTTTACAGCGAGCAAGGGATAAGATAGTTGCTTATATATTTAAATTGGGAACTAGAATAGTGGTTATTGAAGGAAGTAAGAAAATGAGAGGAGTTGGGGACTGCCAGGGTGGAGTGTCAAGTGTGGCAGGGGAAGGGAAAAGGGCCGAGATGGTAAGGACAATGGATTTGAAGTCTTAGTAGAATTCAACATTGTTAAATTGGGATTCAACAGAGAGTGAGTTGGAGAGTTAAGATGTAGTATTCTGAATTTCAGATGCTTGAGACTGAAATTTTGAAGAACTTGCAGATATCAAGTTTTTCTAGTGTTTGATCATGGGAGTGGATCACTGAATGGATTGTAAGAACAAGACATTTAAGGAAGAAGAAAAATTAAGATATTGAATGGGAACATTGATAGAGTGGATATTTCAATAATAATGGCAGGATAAATGGTAGGGCAGGAAATGTGATTCAGGTCTTAAAATCTCCAATAAAAGCAGTGGTATATGGTTGAAACAATTGGAGCTAATGGATAGAATAGTTTGGTGCCAAGTAGATGAGAAGTTTAGAAATCAGGATAAACAAACATTGAAATGTCAATAAGGAGTAAGGAGGACTCTTATCCCATCTTCAGTCTCTATCATATGTGAAAGATGGGAGACAAGGAAAAATAACTGCAACAGAGGCCACATATGAAGATTGCACAGGACACACTAATGTTAAATTACCAGCTTTTGGGCAAAGAAATAAAATGACAGGAGCATAGAAAAACATATTGAAAATGTGGGAAATTGTGCTGCTGACAGTTCAGAAGGATAATGGAAGGTTTGGTGTTAACTTTGTAGGATGTGACCTTGGGTCAAATTAAGAAGTATACAAAACTGTATAGAGATGAGAATGGTTCAAGTCTTGAATTTCTTATGGGAGCTGAGAAAAATAGAGATATAAAGCATGATGGAGTAAATCTTGATGGTCTTTGGGAGGGACATGAATAATCAGTTAATATTAAGTCTTCTTTCTTGGCATTAATCTCTTAAGCCTGTTTAGTAATGAGGTGGGGGAGTTATGGGAAAGGGGAAAGGGTATTGCTAAGAGAATTTGAGCACTGGAGGCCCACTCTTCAATCCTGAGGAGCAGGAAGTTTGAGGTTGCTGTTAAAAATCAAGAGGGAAAAAAATAAAGGAACTTGATTTTGAAAGATATGAAAATAATTAATTTGAGGTAACTAGTAAAGTCATTAGAAGGTAAGAGTAATTATATACCCAAAGTTAATGTAAAATTGATTTACCTCATTTTGCTTTATTGTTAGTTTCATAGTATTTCTCTTTTCTCTCTCTCTCTCTACAACGTTTTTTAATCTTATTTCCTTTCATTAGCTTTTAAGCTCCTGTTATGTGCCAGGCCCATTACAAGGTCAACAAGTGGTATAAGAGAACAAGTTTTCATATTTTTAAAGACATTATTCTCCTGGAGAGGAGATAGTTATGTGAACAAAAAGTGTAGTACTAGATGGCATATAATACCTGGTAAATCAAAGTGCTGTGTTACTTACTTACAGAAGAGGAATTGGGGGCTTCTGTATTAATTTGGTCTGAGAGAACCAACTAAAATTTTATCTGGCTGGGCAGTGCAAGATCGGTTGTATCTAAATAGATTTATATTGCATGTTTAGAAGTGGTAAAGGTAAATAAATTGAAGCAAATGAAAATGAGAAATGTAATTTGTCCAAATTTGTTGCAGGCAACACTTCTCTTTTGTAAAGGAAACTTTGCAGAGCTTTGTCTTTGGGAAATAGATTTGTCAAAAATATCATATGGTATTTTTCCCTTGATGATTCTGCTTTCTGAAAAAGTTAGTATGAAAATTGTAAAAGCTAACATTTATTGGGGGTTTACTAAGTTCCAGTCACTAGGCTCAACATAATAGTTAACATTTAGATGTTCTATGTGTCTTCTAATGATGCTACATTAACAACAACAACAAAAAAAAGTTCATGGATGTATGATTTAATACAATAGAAATTTAATAAATAACTTGCATTTAGAAAGAATTTTAAAATATCAGAATATTAAGAAGGAACAAGTCAAGAATTCCTTTCTCTTTTAATTTAATATAATAATCTATAGGAGCAATTCATTTTAAAACTTTGACATAGAATTTTGCAGGAGAGTTTGAAAAGTCAACCAGAAAGCCATCAAAATTATACCTTAAATACACTTTACTTTATAAATCTGTTGATCGTTATTAATATGAGGGTAAGGGATACTGTATAATTTCTGTAAGATTCCATTTTCCACAATTCCAAATTAATTTGGAGAAGAAAAGAAGAAAATCTAAACCAAGTCTCCAGTGTTATAAAGCCTCCTGAAAATTCATTTTTACCTTCCAAAAAGTGAACCCAAATTGGATTTGTTAACCTATCTTTGCTAAATTCCTTTAATTCCAGTTACATCTAATTTGCATATGTTATTTTTATCTTTTCTAAACAGTAGCCAAGTGACACTGCTGGAATTAATGCAAGTGCCCTTTAGTATATTACAGTTTAACTTCTAATTTGCTCTCTTTGCTAAATCATATTTCTGCACAAAATATTAACTCTCACCTATTTTCTCAACTAGCTCAAAGTTTTAAAGTCAGTTAATCTGAGAAAAGGAGAACAGGAAATCTTTGCCTCTAACAGAGTTATAGTATTTTTGTTACCGAGTCCAAGGTCATACTGCTTGCTGCATGACAAGCCAATAAATCGAGAAATGAGTTGTTGGGACAAGGAATAGCAACTTTATTCAGAAAGCCAGCAGACTGAGAAGATGGTGGACTAGTGTACCAAAGAACCATTTTACTGGAGTTAGAATTCAACCCTAAAAGATTTGGGAGTGTGGTTGGTTGTTGCAAACTTTTTGGTGTTGGAATCCTTTGTTTTTGCAGCTGTCCCTGTAGATCAGGTCACAGTGTTCCTGTAAACCTCCAACAAGACAAATGTTATTCTCTGTTCTGCAACTTCGTATCTCTATATGAATGGAAAAGTCCTATATCTTTAAAGTTCAGAGCCTTGAGAATGGGTTATCCTTTATATTTCAGGCTACAGGCAACATTCTTAATTTGTAGAAAAAGTAATAGAATAAAAAGGTTAAAGTAAAAGAAATAGACCCAATATGGAGTCAGATTTGTTCTTCCCTATTACATTTTCTTCATAAAGAGCTAGTAAACACTACAAATTGAGTTGAAGATAGTTGGCAGAACATTGATACAGATCAAGTGTTGCTGAAAACTTCATATCTATAGTATAAATTAAAAAAAAAAACTATAACCATAGAAATTCCTCTCAATACTGCATAAGCAATAAGGGAATTAACTAATTTTAATAAATAATTTGGAGATAAATAAGGAAATGGCACAGAACAAGTGTAACTAAAAATGTAGATGTGAAGGAAAAACAGCCTGAAGATAATTTGGCCACTAGTGGAAGATTTTGCATTTCATTTTAATTTAATATCTTTAATTGTTTTGGGGTTATTTAAAGATTTTGTTTGCTCTTGCTCCAATTTTACTTTATAACTTTTCCAGAAATGTACCATTTCATATTGTTTTCCAAAGATTTTTGGCATATGATTATTTTATCAAATTTAATGCCTAATGTCTAATTTAATCAGATTTTATTTTATTTTAAAAATACCTACTATATTCCTAGTTTCTTTTACCCTCTTATTGATAGATTTTCTTACTTTTTAAATATTTTTGTTTCATATTTTAGTAGTTGTTCATTTATTATTCCTTTTCCAATAATCAGATTTTTCTTTTATTAAACTATACCACATTTTCTTGTTCCTCTCTACAAGGATTTCTGTCTTATTTTTATCATTTCCTCCTTTCATCTTACTTATTGGCTTTACTCTCTTGTTCAATCTTCTGAAGTTTAATACTTAGCCTATTTTTAAAAATTTGCTCTTAATTTCTAATAAACATAATTAAAGTTTTAAAGAGGTGAGATTGTGTCACACAGAATGTGTTTTAATTTCCCTTACATTTTATTTATTTTGCAGTTTCCTTCTGTTTTCTTATTTAGCATACAGGATTTTCTCATTATACTATTAGTGTTAGGATATATATTTCAAATAATTGCACTATTAAGGGAAAGAGCACACTAGATATTGTGAGCATAGACCAGAGGGATGAAATTGACAACAGTAGTCAAGATTTATTTTACCAAAACGTTTAATGACCTAGACTCTTCAGCTCCTGAGAATAATGCCAAAAGAAGATGAAAGAATTTCAGTATCAAGACCTTAGAACACTGAGACTTTGCAACATTTTAGATTTTTATTAGTAATTATTTCCCTTGAAAATAATATAACTAGTTATTGCTTGCATAAATTTATTGATAACAAGATTTTATGAACTAGATTGTATTTTATAGTGTATCCACACAGCTCCACATTAGCCAGAAGAAGAATCTGAGGACTGGTAAAGTTAACTGAACTCCCTAATATTTCAAAACTACTTAGTGACTTGGAAATTATAAAAAAAAAAAATATTTCTATGGCAACCAGGTCTATGTCCATAGACTATTTATGGTAATACTAAGCCATATAAATAATAACACCTTTGCAAGTATTAGGACTTTGTCTCATGCAAAACTCAGTTACCAAAGCTTAATATATAATGTCCAATGGCCCTGTGACTTTATACCCCAAAGTTTCCAATATATACTGGCCATCCACATTTGTATTTGGAGTCAGAAAAATTTCTCAATAAATTGGTATTCCATTTATCCTTCCCTTTTATTTGTGATTTTTGGAAAGTGAAATTTAAAAGAAAAACTTAAAAATGTAATAATGGTTTCTGCACAAATTCTAGACCTTTAAAACTTTTGAAGAAATATTTGCTGCAATTTAACCACTTTGTTCACTAAAGATATTATACTTAATTTTAATCAGAACAATTTTATGTACAAAATATGTACCATATCAATGTGGTATGTTACTAGTTGAAAAATAATTATGGAAAAGTTTGGCAACACAATTACTCCAAAATATATTAGTTAAAATATAAGATTATATACATTAATATAGATAGCCAATATTGGCATTTCTCCTTTAAAACTACTTATGTCACCAAATATTTAGACTCATAAATTAGGAAGCATATGTTTATATTCCAATATTGCTTATAGTAGAAATATTCAAACTTTCTTGAAATGTTTTTGAGCATTATAAATTTTACTATGGTATCAAGAGAGATTGTTCAGAAAAATCATAATTGTCATCTTGCATGAACTCTTGTCGACATTTACTTTATTCCAATGAATTTTAAGTGCACTGATACTGGAAATTGAAGTAGGAAAGATAAAGTTATTTCATAAACCTCATTTGGGATTCCTTTACATACATAAACTACAATTTCACCAGCTATTTAGAACTGAAACTCTTTAATTTATAATTTAATATTTTTAAATGCTGAAGGATTAATTTATGCTGATTTTAATACTTTATACAGAGAGTAGATCTTCTGTTATGTGGCTTAATCTTAAAAATAATCTCATTGGAACTCTTATTATTGCCAATCCTTGTAAAGGCAAACACTCTGAAGTTATGTATTCTGTTAAAGAATATAGACAATTTTCTTCCAAGAGAAATATTACTACCCACATTTGATAAATAAAATATCATTCAATGTATAGGAAGAGTGGTCACAAAGTGCCAATTCCAGTTGTGGAAAACATAAATGATAACAGAATTTATTTGCATGTATATATGGCTAATAATCTCTAAATAATCAATACTTCTTTCTTTCTATACATGCATTGTGTTGAATATGATGAGGTGTATATGCATATTTGTCAAAATATCCAAAAGGAAATATAAGAAGTGCTAACATTTCAAGCCAATCTCACCATATGTTACCTTCCAAGTGCTTGCTTTAATCACATGGGCAAGGAAACTTTTTTCTTTCTTTCTACTGGGTTCCTTTTTCACCTGAGCTGACAAATATTTCTCTTGCTTATTTTCAAATAACCAAGAAATGCGTTAAAATTATCAACCTGTCATGAACCCTAATTTAATAGGATTTTTTGGGAGGGAAACTTCTTCTTTCCTAAGTAGCTACAAGCTTTGAAACATTGGATGGAAAGTGGCTAGAAATTGTATGAAGACCACACTGATTGTAGGGTCAGAAATGTTATGAAGTGGTCATGATTATAAATGGTGAGATCTGGAGATTTAAGTTAAAATTCACTAGCTCATTTCTTCCATCTAAATGATATTGCAAGGGTTTATTTATTTGGGTTGGGGGACCCTCATAATATCTCCACCATTAATCTTCCATTCTCTGATATGAACAATTTAATTTTTGCTACCTTAAGTAAACAAATGCAAAAGCAGCTTTTAGGTAATTCCCATAGTCATCCCTTTTTCCATTTGCACTTCTGAAATATTTGTCAATTTTAAACTTCCTTTCTGCAGAAATCTGCATCTGAAAGGCAGGCTTTAGGTTTCCAGGACTCAGTATGAAGCCATAAATCTGCTACCTAACCTTTCTGTCAAGCACATCAATGTTTATTCTAATTAAGTAAATTTTATTATTATCATGTTATATCATGCCTTCTGCTCAAATACTTTCACTAAGTTACCATACATACATACTACTAAACTAATCTGTTATTTCCTAGAAGAGCGTAATCTGGAGCAGACAACTCAACAGAGGACAGACTAACACATCTACCACACTGTATTGGTAAAAGCAGTCCCAGTGCCAGTCCAGATTCGGGGAGAGAAAATAATTTATAATCATCTTTGATCCACTAAAAGTGAATAATAAGCTGAGTAACATGTTTGAAATAATATATTGTTTATATTGTATATTTTGATTGAATATGTCTTCTTTTTAATCAGAAGAATCAAAGCATGTGGATGTATATAGAATTAATTATCAAATTATAAACATTTCTTACTTATGCTAAAAGACCTCATTACACAGGAGAGAGACAGCTTTTTTGTTTGTCATTGTAAGTTGGAATAATATCATTGTTGCATCATTTAAAAAAAGCATAGACTATATTTTAAATTATTAACCTTATGTTATTTCATTTTTAAAAGTATCAAGTTATTTAAAATAGATTCTTATACATATATGCATAATCATATAATTTTTCACTCCAATAACAGTTTTTAACCTTGCATTATTTTGAAAACCTTCCTAAGATCTTTAGCCCATTCATTGTAACAGCTTCAAAAATACAGCTTTATCCTTCTCCCTCTAATTTTGTAAAGGAAGGAAATTATTTGATTATCAACCAAAAGCAATGGAAGCTTCTATAAATTACTTCAATTTATAAGCATCTTTTGACATTATAAAACAAAAATATTTGCTGACAGCAGACCAGAACTGCATTATTCTGAGTGGTAAAATTAACATGCATACTAGTAAGTGGAATTTTTAGTTACAATTCATTAATAATGTTGTTAAGCACTTTTTTTTTACTACTATCCATGTACAAGAGAGTCAGCATCCGCTCCTGACAGCTGTCCCCTATATGCTTTCTGTAAACAGAAAATGAAGCAACATCCCAGTCATTCTCTCTGGAAAGACAGCTTTCAGTGCTTTATGCAAATAACATGACCCTCTAGCTGTGGCACATTCTTCAAAAAGACACCTACCTTCAAAAGTGACAGCAAGTAATAATAAGACAAATGAGCATGCAGTCTGCACATGTGCCACATATTTCACCTAAGAATCCTTGGATGTGATAAAATTAATGTGACCTCTATCACCAAGGACATTATACTCAATGGAACAGAGCCATAGGAGAAGCAGAAATGGTGGGGACTATGTCCGCATTTAGTAGGCTTTTACTTAAAACTTTTTAAAATCAATTTTTCTTTTTATTTTACATTTTGGCCTGAGAAACACTCAGTTATAGAATTTCTATTGTCTTCATTACAAGAACAAGGAACAATATTCACCGATCATCAGGAAGAAAAAGAAAGGTTACATATGATATACTGGAGTAATTAGACTGTGGGTAGGCAATATAAAACTTTAATGAATATTGATATGGGATTAAAGAGCTTGACTTATTGTTAGTATATCCTGCTATACATTTTGCTTTGTTTTAAGGTTGATTTTTTTCCCCTTTTCAAGAGAGAAGATGCATCTTTTCCTTTTTTATTACTGAGATAATTATGCAAAATAGAATAAAATATTTACAACAGACTTTGCAAAATAGGTAATGTACAAATGAACTGTTTTCAATGTACCCTGAGGCTTGAATGCAACAAGCACACCATGAAAGCTGTATTGTAGCTTAATTGTAGCAATCAAATTTAAGAAAAAACAATAGGACACTTTTTCAATCTGCCTTGACAGAATTTTGGCAAAAATTTTAAAATCCTAAACAAATAATCTTGTGGCAAGCTGAGATCTAAGCCACCAACTGCTATGGACATCAAAAATGCAGCCAAAGTAGATTTACATATTTGCTTATAATTATTTTAAATCTACTGAACAGAATCATACCTTCACATAGTTTATAATCAGAATTCATAGTTATTGAAGATATATGGGAAGTGAATAAGAACTAACATACATGATGATTTCATTTCTACTAATAGGGTTGTGAAAAATTAAATTGAGTTCATTATAATGAACTTTTATAATGAATTTTATAAAATAAAAGTGCACTCAAAACACAAACAAAAATAGTTTCTTATACGTGTTGAATATACGTGTAGTTTTTAACAGAAAATGTTTGAGTTTTAACTGTTATTCAAACATGACATCACATGTTTAAAAAGATTACCTATACACTCCAAGGCAACAAAACAAGTTAGTAGATTATGAATGAATTTTTAATATTCTAAAGGCTAAATGGCCTTTGAAAATACAAATTTGGAAAAAGGAAAGGTAAAGCTCTGTTCTATTTTACTTGAAAGCCCATCTATTTGTGTATCTCTAATTACACATAAAAAAGAGTGGAAATAGGATATTTGCTCACTTTAGAAAAGTTATTATAAAAGTATGAGATATTTAAAATACTAAGAATACAAAATTATAACTGCCTTCTCACTATTAAATTTGACATTGAATCTGATATTCTTATTTTTATCAAAATTATTCATGCAAAATTATTAAGGACAAATTCTTCCTTTCAGCCATGTTTTCTGCCATTCAGAGGCAAGCACTTTTGATTATTTTATCTGTTTAATTTGGTTTGGGCCTTCATGTCTCTAACTAATATAATTCTATTTCTATTTCTTTATCTTTCATTTTTAGGCAATTTCCAATTATTTACAGTTGGGGGATAAGTTTTTGGATCTCCTCACATCAATCCTGAAACATATGCATACAGCTCTGCCCCTATCTTTCCAATAAAATTGCAGTATAAATTTTGTGGGAGTAATATTTAGATTTGACATTATAATGTCTATATAGACACTATTCACAAGTGATTTGCTATGCATGATTCACCATGTAAACTCTATTTTATGGCTTATTTTCCATTCTAGAATATATTTTTATATTCATTAAGTTAACATAATTTTTATTTTAATGCTTACTTAGGTTTCTGTGTACTCCTTTTTAGGTTTTTGTGTACTCCTTTTTAATATGTTAATTTTTTAATATGTTTAATATGTTAAAAAAATTAACATAATTTTTATTTTAATGCTTACTTAGGTTTTTGTGTACTCCTTACTTAGGTTTTTGTGTACTCCTTTTTAATATAAAAAGTGTACTCCTTTTTAAAATAGTAGCCATTTTTACAATCATAGTATTCCCTCTTGTCACAAATAGTCTCATTTATTTTATTCTTTTTTGAACCCCTTAACCTCTGAGTTAGTTTTATTTATCTTTATATCTCTTTTATAAACAATATTGTTCTGCCTTTAATGTTTATGTTTACGGATTGTGAGTATGCGTGAAATTAGCTTTTTTAAAAAGTAAATTGTGGGTCTTCCCTGGTGGCGCAGTGGTTGAGAGTCTGCCTGCCAATGCAGGGGACATGGGTTCATGCCCCGGTCCCGGAGGATCCCACATGCCACAGAGCGTCTGGGCCCGTGAGCCATGGCCACTGAGCCTGCTGCATCCAGAGCCTGTGCTCCACAATGGGAGAGGCTGTGACAGTGAGAGGCCCATGTACCACAAAAACAAAAAACAAAAACAAAACAAGTAAATTGTTTAAGAGTCTATTTTTTTGGATCATATAATTTTAATGTAACTGTACACATTAAGGAGCAGTTTACACCTTACATCTTTTACATCTTATATTTCCTTTGATCTTTATCTATGAGGAAAGGTAGATGGAGATAATTCTGTTTTACTAACAACTGTATTGACAAATAAATTTATTCATATATAAATCATAAACTATAAAATCCATCCATTTAAAATGTACACTTCAATGTTTTTAGTATACTCATAGATTTGCACAACCACACCTTGGTCTATTGTTAGAACATTTTCATCTCTCCAAATAGAAATTTAATTCTTATTAGCAGTCACCCTCATTCCCCTTTTTCCCCAGCCCCTGAAACCACTATTCTATTGTATATGTTTATAGAGTTGCTTATTCTGGACATTTCATATGAAAGACATCATAAAATAAATTTATTTGGGACCGATATTTCAATGAGCTAACGTTTTCAAGTTTCATCCTTGTTGAAAAATATATCAGTGTCCACTCTTTTATATTTCTGAATAATATTCTATTTAATAGATATACTGTAGTTCAATTATCTATCCGTCAACTGATTGACATTTGCATTTCTTCCACTTTTTGGCTATTATGGATAATACTGTTATCAACATTTCTGAAGAAACATCTGTATAGATATGTTTACAGTTGTCTTGGGTATAAGCTTAGCAGGGTAATTGCCAAGCCATATAACAACTGGATTTAATATTTTGTAACTAACAAATTGTTTTCTAAAGTCACTGCACCATTTCTCATTCCCACCTGCAGTGCATGAGGATTTCAATTTCTTTCTGTCTTCAACAGTTGTTATTGCCTGTTTGCCATTTTAATGTGTTTCAAGTTGTTTCTCAGTATAGTTTTGCTTTGCATTTATTTAATGATTAACAAATATTAGCAAATTTTTCTTGGGCTTATTAGCCATTTGTGTTTCTTTGGAGAAATATCTCTTCAAATAATTTTCTCATTTTAAAATTGGGTTGTCTTTTTATTTTATAAGTTACTGGATTTGTTTTGCTAGTACTTTTTTGAGGATTTTTTTTTTTTGTCTATAATCATAAGGTGTGTAAGTCAGTAGTTTTTATTTTTTGTGATACCTGTGTCTAATTTTAGTATCAAGCTCAAACCAGCCTCTTAGATCACTTGGAAATTGTTTGCTCCTCTTCTATTTTTTGGAAGAGTTTGTGAAGGATTGGTATTAATTCTTACCTAAGTTTTTGGTAGTTTGTCAGTGAAGCCATCTAAGACTATGTTTTGTTTGTTTGGTTGTTTTGTTTCATTTAGGGGGTATTTTTAAATTAATAATTTATTATTTTTAGTTGTTAAAGGTCTATTCATATTTTCTATTTCTTTTTGAGTAAGTTCTGGTAGAGTGCATTTTACTAGGAATTTATTCATCTCATCTTAGTATCATAAGTGTCTAATTTGTTGCCACACAGCTGTTTATAGCATTCCATTATATTCCTTTTCATTTCTTTATGGTAGGTATCAGCTGTCTCTACTTTTATCCTGATACTAGTTAATGATAATATCACTGGGATTTTTTTTTTTGGTTTATTTGTTTGTGTGTTTATTTCTTGCTTTCTTTTCCATTTATCTCAAAGTATCTTGTAATTTCTCACATGATGTCTCCTTGACTCACTGGTTATATGGACAGGTGTTTTTTTAATATTTACTTCTTTGTGAATTTCCCATATTTCATTTGGTTTTTGATTTCTAACTTAAATCTATTTCGATTTGAGAATATATTTCATATGATGTCAATCTTTTGAAAT